ACTTGCTCTTGGATTGTACGAGGTGTTCTTAATGTGTATTTCTCTGATTCTTTTTCCATATAACTCAAAGAATAACGTTTCAACCTCCAAAGCCTAAGTATGGCTCTTCCCTGCGTTAGGACCGTGGCCTTGAATTTTGGGGTAAAGGCTCCTTACCGATCCAACTGTTCCTCCACTTTTTCTTCTCCTTCTTACTGCAAAACTCAGCTGCACAAAATCGCTTCTAATGGCCAGAAGGAGACTAGACTGTTGCAGCCTTGTGGGTACTGCAGATTTGTACTTCCCCTGCCTGGAATATAGACCTCCTGTCCATGACTCGGGCTGATTCTTTACCTGGTAAGTGATTTCTTTATGGGTTTCTAGTAACTTCCCTAGGAGTCACTGGGACGGCCCACTGCTCTGAGCATCTCCTTGACATCTCGTACTTCACTTTTTATATGGTTGCTACACTGAACCGTCAACTCATAATTTTCTATGTCATGCCTTCTACTCGGCCACAAGGGCAGGAATTGTGGTTAGTGTGCTGACAGCCTTATATTTTAGTAGGTGGTGGTAAATATTAATAAATGTTGCTTGATGAATGAATAAAGTAGGCATAATGGGGAAGCAGAAATATTTAAGAAATCAATTCAGTGAAATCAGCAAAACAAACTTTTTATTTATAATATTAGTGCTTTTTCTTTTTTAGTTTGGCCTGCTTCAATCTTTTTTTTTTTTAAAAAACTTTTATTGACTCTTTGTGGATTTCACATCATATATTCCAATCTCACTTATCTCTCTGTCCCCTCAAATCCACCCTCTGTCCTTGCCAATCTTTCCCTCCAAACAAAACCAAATTTAAAAGAAAACCCAAAACCAAGCCAAACAAAGAAACAAAACAAAACAAAAACAAAACAATGTCAACAAAAGAGAAGAATCTTGTCGTGGAAGCTGCAGTGCGGCCCGCTGGGTCACACAGTTTACCCTTTCGTCCGTTCATCTTTACTTGTAAGTGTTCACTGCCACAAGTCATTGGTCTGGCTCGAGGCCTCTGGCTTCTGCTATGCCACTGATAACGGGCTCTCTCTGGGGCTCCTCTTGGATATCCTGTTGTCCTGGGTCATGGAGATGCTGCAATTTTGGATCTGTAGGTTTGTCCCCTTCACGTCCAACAGTTCATTGTAGCACGAATCTTAAAAGTTCTTATTAATAAAAACAAACCTGAAGTCAGGTATTGGGGTGAAATGCTGGAAGATCAGAGGAGCAGAACAAGCCACAGCCACCTCACCTTGCCAATTCCTCAGCTGATCCTGTTTCCTCAGACTGGATGCCTCTCAGCTGAACTGCGCTTCTCAAAAGCCTCAAAGCTTAACCAGCCCTAGCTCCTTGTCCTCATGCCATACATACCTTTCTGCTTTCTGCCATCACTTCCTGGGACTAAGGCTCTTGTTACCATGCCTGACTGTTTCCAGTGTGGCTTTGAACTCAGAGAGATCCAGACGGATCTCTGCCTCTGGAATGCTAGGATTAAAGGCGTGTGTGCCACCATTTTCTGGCCTCTGTATCTAGTGGCTGTTCTGTTCTCTGACCCCAGATTAAGTTTATTAGGGTGCACAATATTTTGGGGAACACAATACCACCACAGTTCATAGATAGGGTAGATGTTGGGGTGGGCCAACTCATAGCCCTGGTTCTTGGCCTCTGTGGTAGTTGAGGTGGTCAGCCTGCCAGCTTTCCCTCATTGTCACTACCCAGGCGAGCTCTCCAGCACCGCCTCAGCCAGCTCACCCAGTGCAGCTCGCAGCAAGGAGTGGGCCAGTTCTCCTGCTCTCAGGTCCCCAGATCTGCGTCACCCACATTCACACCACCAGGGCCAGCTCTACTGTCTTACCCAGGCAAGATGCAGGGCCCTCTCTCCCAACTGCTGCAGGGAGGATTCGAGGTGGGTGGGCTCAGCTCTCCTGCTCTCATGGCCTTAGGGCTGGCTCACCTGAGCCCTGACAACAGGGTCAGCTCTAGTGTGCTCCCCAGGTGGGCTGCAGAGCCTGCTCTCTCGTGTGCTGCAGCCAGTGAGGGTCAAGGCTAGCTTTCCCACTCTTGTGATCCCTGGGTCAGCTCCCTCACTTGCCTTAGGTGGTAATGGGTGGGTGGGTGGGGAAGGGCATCTTTCTCTCACCCATGATACCACGTGGCAGACAAAGGGGGTGGGGTCAGCTCTCCTGCTCTCACACCCTCAGGGTTGGCTCACCTGTGTCCCCTACCATAGGGTCAGCTCTTAGGGTGCTGCCCAGGTGAAGTGCATGCCCATGGCGAGGGGTGGGGCTATCCCTCCTGAGTGCCGAGGCTAGTTATCCTCTGAGGGATGTGGCCAGCTCTCCTACGCAGTATTTAGTGAGGTGCAGGGTCAGCTATCCCATGGCCAGTGAATGGCGGGGCTGGCCCAGCAGAGCATGGTTCCAGTGACCTCCTGTGCTAACACTGCTATGAACATCATCACAGACCCCAGCTGCAGCAGGACCACAGACCTAGACATGGCCCTTGGCAGCAGGCATGCTTAAATCTTTTAAAGACAGCCTTTACAGGGCAGTGGGGTTTCACTGATAAATTCATATGATTTCCCTCTACTTCCTGCAACCATTTAGATCCCACACTTTAAAAAACTCAGTAGCTCAAGGACGTTAACAGACAGTGTCTTCCAATAACTATATTTCTATATACATTAGCCACTTACCCTTTGTAAGCTTGGGAATTATTAGGGCCTGCAATTGACTATATTAACCCAAACTATCATCATTTCCTTTAGCATAAATAAAATTAAGCCGTTAGCAGGAGGCCAAAGGCCCAGCGGCCGTTCCAGTACAATTTGGATGGATGCAGATGAAATTACAGAGTCACATTTTATCCATTGGATGCTGTCCCAATTAGGAGCCAAGTCACCTCAGAGAGTTCAGAGACAGCAGAGAAGGAGGAGGAACATGCATACTTTGAAGGGATGCCTGGTCCTCAGCAGGACAGGCTTTCTTTTGCTCTCCGGAACAGAGACCATAGGATGCAGTGCTCCCCAAGCATGAACTGAATTCTGCACTTTCCCACTGGTGCAGCTGGGGTGGGGGTGGGAAGCCGTAGAGGTGGAAAATGGCTGATTCGGATGCTTCAATTATGTCAGGGCTAGAAACAGAATTGAAATGACCCAGATGGTTAGCCTAATGAAGCTGATCCAAAATGTATGCTATGAGGAGTCAGAACCACACTTCTCTCCCCATGTGAACGTGAGAGTGTGCATGATTGATTTTTTTTGGCTGAGGAGGTCTTGAAGGGATGGGGATGAGCCTGCAGGGCCAGGATGGATGGTCACTGGAAGGAATCACATCCAACCTGAGCCATTTCCTTCTGTGGTTTTGTCTCCCGTGAAATTTCACCTCTTAGTTTCTCCGATGTGGAATACCCCTTCCCGGTGGCTTTGCAAACAGATTCCATCTCCTGGGAGAGAACTCTTCCTTCAGGATAAGGCCCCGGAGGCAGATCAAGCAGAGCAGGGAACTTCGCTGCTGATGTTTCAGGGCTCTGGTCCAAAACTTAATCTTGAATGAGAACCACAAGTCACACACTGCACAGTCACCTGTCCATGGAGCATGGTTGCCAGCAGGCACAGAGCTGTGACCAGCACCACAGCTGCTGTGGTTGAAAACAGCATGATCTTTTAATTAAAGAACTTAATGTATGTAAATCTAGAGGACAGTGCTTGGTGTGTGGTACATACCAATCAGCTGTCTGTTGTTACTCTATTACTCATTCAGCACATTTCCTGCTCATTTTACTGAGTTTCCACTTCAAAGGCATTTCTTTAACCAACTCCAAGAGCCACAGAGTTTAGTGGGGTGGGAAAGGGCACAGCCTTGAAAATAGATTCTGACAATGGTCATCTTAGATAATTGAGAAAGGGCCTCCTTAGTTTTCTCATGTGATGCTGTGGAGGGTCCCTGGAATCCTCCTGTCAGTGGAGAAAAATGTTTATCAGCATCCGTTACAGTCACCACCATTGGAGTGTGGTCACCAACATAAGAGGTGTTTTACATTCATCACCCTGGCTGATCCTCACAGGTGACATTTAAATTGGGCTTTTACAAGAAACTGAAATTCATAATACCTAAGACATTTGTTAAAAACAGCACTTACTTTCCCTTATTGAGTGTCTCGTCTGTGACATGTTGTCTATACACCATGGCTATACCATGAGATATATTACCATTACCCTGATCTGTTGCTGAGCCAGCTGTTGTGTGGAGATGTTCATTGATTGTTAGGATCACGTAGCCAGGGAACACAGAAATGAAGACGAACTCTTTGTCTTCAGGCTCTTGCTATTAAACTAGGGCTGCCTCGTGAGACAGACTTGCTGTTCAGCTGTATTGGTTCTAAGCCTCCTTGAATGAGTCCAAAGATGCACTTGCTTGATAATAAATCCTATTGGTACTATTGAAGCGCTAAGGGAGTAGAACGCGTCCTGGGGAAAAACAATACTTCAGAAGCCCAGCTTGCCATATGTGCAAAGCAGGAGAAATTAAGTGAGAAGACACCAAATTGATCAGGGCTTTCAAAGATACAGGGATATAAACAATCTAAATTAAAGACATCATGTGGCATTGGCTACAGAGTGTGTGTGTGTGTGTGGTGGGGGATTGAGGGAGATTTAAGTAGACTGAGCTCTTGTCCGGTAAGAGGAAGAAACAGATAGAAGCTCCCATAACTTTGCTGTCTGAGGCCTGGGCACGGTGTTGAGAGTGGCAAGGTGAGGTGGGGATAATGACTGTCCTCCCTCTGTGACTGGGTACTGCCTGGTGCACTTGTTCCTCAGCCTTATGTTTGGGGAGAGATCAGTGTGGGGAATATATCAGGGATGGTGGTGGCGGTGGTGGTGGTGGCGGTGGTGGTGGTGGTGGCTGGATTTTAGTTACAGTATCAACTTCCTGGCTCATGTTCAGCTCCATGGCCTTCTGTTGATGAATTGCTCATAACGGAACTATCTGTCTTGCGGGCTAGGCAGCACACGGGAGCTTTGGCACAGCCTCTCTTCACATTGTGAAACTCCAAGCAAGTTGTTCCACCTTACTGAACCCGGCAGACAGCAGGGAGTCCCTACTCTCAGGGATCCTGGGAGGAATGGCCAATAAACATGAAGGTAAGTGCAACACAAACGCTAAGTAAATGCCATTAATCCCCTGGTGGACAGTGGCATGCCTATCCAGTCTGCTAAATCTCTTTTAGTTCGATAGGCCCAGGGCCTCAGGATAGGTGTTCAGGTGGAAACACAGGTAAACAACCAAGTGATTGTGTCAGGGGGTCTCACTTCAAGAAGGGCAGACAAACGAAGGGAGCCAGGAATGAACAACCGTCACTAACCCAGTCTTCCGGGGTCTGGCATCTGCAGCAGGTTACGTGTGCTTCGGGGCCCCGTTCTTGCAAGCTACTTCCTCAGATGGCAAATCCGACCCAGCCTTTATATTTCTAAGTAAATTTGATTCCTCAAGAACTATTGTACTGGAAATGCAAATTAGAGTGGTTGTTTTAGCTCAGCCGAATTCAAACAGATCTGTGAAGCTGCTGGCTGCCCTCAGCCCCAAAATGGTTCTGCAAGCTGCTGGAAAGGATGGGAAACACAGCAGAAACCAGACAGCCCTGTTTGCTGCAGAGGGATTTGGGGTTCATGTTGTGGCCTCTTCCTTACACCAGTCCTATCCCATAGTGACTTTGGGCAGCTACACTGGCTCGTGTGCAGTTTTAGATTTAATACTGATACCGACTGAAAACAAAGCCTTCTGTAGTGGGATGCTAGTCTGTCAGTCCTTGGCATACAAAAGGGACACTGGTTACAGCCAAAGTGGTCTTTCTTTCTCCTCTGCCTTCCTCCTTCTCCTCCTTCTCTCCCTTTGACAACAGGTCTCATTCACTTTTAAAATAGAGTTTGAATTACCTATAAGATATGAAGTTAACTGATTTAAAATTAGGATGAAGAACAATGTTATTTTTGTATTGAAGATGGACTGCTGGCCTGATGCCAAAGTCAGAACATAGCTGCTTCTGGAAGCCGTCTTGGTCTGGTTTCCATGACACCGCACTCTTGGTCTTTTGTCTCTTTCCTTGCCCGTTTCTTTCAGTTTCTTTGTGCAGGTTTCTGCTGGATCTCTAAATTTTGGATGGGTTGTATCAGTGCCTCGTCCCTTACTCTCTTTTCTTTTTGAGCCGTCTCTCATTAAATATTGGAAGATCATTAAATATTGATCTCTTCAATTTATATGTTGACCCCTGACACTGCCTTGATCTTTTAGACTGATGTATCCAACTGCAGACCCATAGTGAATCAGAGTTTTCAAACAAGCACATCCCAGACTGCACTTCTGAATTCTCTGCTCAACCTTGCTTCTTTCCAGGCTCATCTGCCATCCTTTATGACAATGCCTCTCAACTGGTTGTTCTTGACAAATACTTAGGGTTATTCCAACTTCTCTTTTTCCTTCATGTTCTTTGCCCAAACCACAGACAAGCCTCAGTATTTCACTTCATTTAAGCTGCTACCATAGTGATACAAATCAGGCTTATCTCTCATTTGTACTGTGTGACAGTCACTTCATGTATGACATCCTTGCCCCAGTCTGGCCTCTGAGAAGATGCTTATTATCGACTTGGGTTGTTTCAGATCATACAGGATTAATGATGGAAGAAGGACTTGAATCCAGTTCTCCACGGTGCTAAAAAACAGTTAAATCAGAAGTGTTTTTAATTACCTCATCTAATTATTCAAATTAGAAAGGGTTTAATTTAAGACTCCTCTAATCATGGCTAATAATGCTAGTAATGCCATATGCTGGACTTGATTCCACCAGCCTTACATAATTTAGATTAATGAATCTTATAACTCATTGAGCTATATACTTCCGTTAGTTTTCCATCACCATAAACAAATATCCGAGATAATCAATATATAAAGAGAAGAGTTTTGTTCTGGTCCATGGTTTTGGAGGTTCAGGTCATCATCAGATAGCTCTGTTGTTTGGCCTGTGGGGAGGCAGTACATCATTTTGGGGATGTGGAAAGTAGCAAAATTGTTTACTTCACAGTCAAGGGGTGAGAGAGAGAGAGAGAGAGAGAGAGAGAGAGAGAGAGAGAGAGAGAGAGAGAGAGAGAGAGAGAGAGAGAGAGAAGGGGGCTGAGGTTTATAGTGAGTAATATTGTTGATCAATGGGATCGAAAATCATATAGCAGACAAGTCTCTGGGCAAGCCTGTGAGGGATCTTGAGGATTAGGTTAACTCATGTGGGAAGACCCATCTTAATGTGGGTGGCACCATTCCATGGGCTACTGTTCTGAACTGACTTAAGAAAGGAGAAAGGGAGCTGAGCGCAGTATTCATAACACTCAGTTTCCTGATGGTGGGTATAATGTGGCCAACCACCTAAGGTCCTTGGCCACCATTTCCCTATCACGGTGGGCTGGACCCTTGGATTGTGAGCCAGAATAACCCCTTTCCTAAATTTGCTTTTAGTTCACTTGATGGACTGAGCCCTCAAGACATTGGCATTGGGCCATTCAGGATCCAAGCTAGGCATTTACTGCTGCTTTTTAAATTTGAGGAAGCTGAGGGAGAGTTGCTTAGTAGCTCAACTGAGTTCACACAGCCCTTAGGCAACAGAGACAGATTCAACCCAGCCTCTGAAACTGTGCTGTGTTATGCTGAGCTCCTGTGGAAGCCATGGGGTGTTTCTGTATGACCCATTCAGTCTATCCGGGGTGTTTATTTTATCTACTTAATGAATTTACTGTGACAATAAAATTATCTATTATCTCATGTATTATATCTCAGGTACAGCTAAGAGAAGAATTACAAAGGCTTTTAGATTTTTTTTCTAAATACACTCTATTTGGGGCCCAGAGGTTTTGAAGTTTTGGACATATTTATCCCAGGGGCAGCCTAAAAATGAACTCCCAAATTGTCTCAAATATTTCCTATTTGAAAACATTTTCCCCAAAGACTCTACCCTGAGTTCTTCTATGGGAAGCAACAAATCCTATCGGGTCCCAAAGGGGTCGTTTGCAGTTTGAAAAATAGCTAGGCTCTCTCTTGTGCACCTGTGCTGTGTTGCATAGATTTCTTTAGTTGGCAAAAATCTTCAAAAAGGATTAGTGTTATAAAAGTGAGTTTTGAAGAACTGAAAGAATTCGGAATATTGAAAAGATATTTCACCCATGCCAGCTCCACATTGTAGAGAGGAAAAGAAAGGCGAGGGCTTTGCCCTTTAATTGAACAGCTGTGATTCTAATCTTGGTCCCTTTGTGTCTCCAAACGAAGCACTATATATTCCACCTGGGCTATCTGTTACGTCCCCTCACCTGGACACAGAGCTCTGCGCCCTCTCACTCCCTGACAGCCTCCCCACCTCCTTCATCGTTGTGAATAATTTTCTTGATAAGGAACTCATTATCATTATTGATTAAACTTTGCCACCTCAGTTTGCTGCTGCAAAAACTTGGCTCATTTTAATCTGTCTTGTGGCCATGTTTTACCATGTTTCAACTCATCCCTAGGTTGTGTTTGCCTGATGCTAATGCAAAGACTGAGGACTCTCTGGGGGCTCTTTGTGACTGACAGAAAAAGTGTCTGGAAATATGTGGATAAGCCTCAAGACTTGCAAACAGAACACAGTGACAAGGTTCTCTGTGGCTGTTGTGCTCAAACTAGACTCATAAACTAAGGCAGGGAATACATTTGTATAGTAAAACCTTTCATCTACTTATATGCCAGGGAGATTCCCCCCCCACCTCCCCGCCATTACTCCAGTCCTGAATATTTCATGTTCCATTCTTTCTGTGGTGCTCTCCTGACCTCTACAAATACCAACTCTGTTAGATTTTGGTGAGTTCAAAGTTTCATTACCATGCTCCCCTGTCTCTTTCTGATGGGGTCTTCCTGTGTAACTCAGACTAACCTCAAATTCAAGACTTAGGACTAGTCTTCCTGCCTCAGGCTTCTGAATGCTGAGATTATAGGCATGCACACCCAAGCCCAATTTATCATATGCATTGAGTAGGGTGCTGTTGTTCGTACTATTTTATTTTAAAATGGCTTTCACAGTTACAGAAACATGTAAGAACAAAACAGCAAACTCCTATATACTTTTTCCATCATTCACCTTCCTATTGCATTTCTGCATCCGATGCTAACTGAAATGACATTGCCCTTTTTCTGAATCATTGCTTCTTCTGTACCTGCTAAGAACATAGAGATCAGAACTGGAACCCAAGGGTCTGTCTGCCTGGAGACTGATGAGTCATGGGACCCGGCTAGAAGCAGGGGTCATTATTGGAAGAAAGGAAGGGGTCTCTACAGCTCTGCTGTCTCAGCTGTGCAGCTTTACTTCCACAGAGCTCTAGAAACAGTGCTCCAGCTACACTGGTCGCCTCTGAACCCTTCAGAATGCCTCACTCTACAAATAAAATCTCATCCGCTTCTGCTTGCAGGCTGCCGATAAACAGCAGAGTTTCTCTTTAATGGCTCCTAAACGGTGCCAAAAATCCAGTCAATTGGCAACACGCCCCTTTGGGACACCATGTGGAACTGTGTAGCAGGGTTCTGAATGCTGTGAATGACGGCAGACCTGTCTGAGTACGTTTCTGAGGTCTCCCCATCAACCCACAGGTCATACTAGCAGGCACATTGTGAGTGAGATGGCAGGCTGCCAGACCTCTCAGCAGTGTGCATGGGCCCTGAAGACGGCAGAGCTTGGCATTCTTGCCTGGCCTGGGAGGGAAAATGAGTAATGTGATTTGAATTGGCAAAAAGTCATGATTTTCACTTTAAAAGGGGATCCTTTATTCTTGAGCCGAAGCCAATTGAAATGCCTGAGCCTGGGCCCTTTCATGTGGACAAGAACAATGAGATCAATTTTCAGCAGAAAACGAGGGAGAGGAGAAAGAGATGGCAGCTGACGTAATGAGCTGTTAAGGGCAAAGTTGGAAATTAGATATCATGGCTTAAGTAGTGCTGGGATTCCAGTACCCTCCCCCGGCTTCTCCAGTCTTGCATTAAAGAAATAAAGCAAAACAAAGGCTTCCTGACTACAAGATGGAAGACAATCTTTTCCTAATCCAAGAAGATGCTCAAATGTGAACTATTGCCTTCTGATT